AGTCAGACATCCCTCTTGCATCTGGGAACCCTGGCTCCTACCCGCTCACCTGCCTGCCTGTCTGATCGCACCTAACTGCTCTCCCCTGCCGGCCTGACCACCCCTAACTGCTCCCCTGCCGGCCTGATTGCCCCTAATCACCTCTGCCTTGGCCCCCGCCACCATGGCTTTGTCTGGAAGGACAACCAGAAGATGTCCGTTCAACCCAGTCTAATTAGCATATTACCCTTTTATTAGTATAGATGATTTAACTGTATCAAGTCTATTGTTCCAGGGGCAGAATCAGATGTTCAGGCTTTTGCCTCCAGCCCCTCCCCGCCACGTGATCTGGTAAGTTCTCGTTGATTTAATTGGTGCTTTGGTATCTGATTCCTTTTCCTGCAGGAGTTAAGCCCAGAGTCCACACACCCAGACTTCCGAATGTGGCTGACCAGTTACCCGTCTCCCAACTTCCCCGTGGCCGTGCTGCAGAACGGAGTGAAAATGACCAACGAGGCCCCGAAAGGGCTCCGGGCGAACATCATCCGCTCCTACCTCATGGACCCCATCTCGGACCCCGAGTTCTTTGGCAGCTGCAAGAAGCCCGTTAGTGCCGGCTAAGTCTTGTTGCCCAGCCCCCGGGGTGGCGGGTGCGTGTGCCCGGGAAAACTCCCCCTTAAACAGGCCTCCCTCCCGCACTGCGGCGCCCTTGGCTTTGATTACTGATTATTGACTGTGCGGAAGTCAATTTTATTAATATTTTATTTTAATTTTACTACCGGCCCCATCCCTGCTCAGCTGGGATCTTGGTGGGTGTCGTTAATAATGCAGCCTTCTATTTAGAGAGTCGCTGCCAGCCATTCCCAGCGCGAATCTGCAAGGTTGGAGAATCTTGTTTCAGGATATTAACTGAGCCATTTGCTACTCGGAGCCCTATCTTTAAATTAAAATATAAAAACGTCTCCTCCGTGTAACTATAACGAGAGGCGAACGGCTCTGCTCCTGGATGGATGGGGCTCATAGGGTCTTTTGTAGCAGCGCCGGGCAGGCAGGGAAGCCACCCGCTGCTTTCCTGATTAGGATTCCGTGTGTGAATGTCTGCGACCCAGAATTGTTTCACAGCGTTTTACCGTAATTAAAAATGGAAGAGTTTCGTTTTAAGAGAGGTTATGAACCTCGGTGAGTTTCTGCCATTACGAAGCTCACAGTCCTGATGTCAGAATGTGTTTTAAGTATACATCAAAAGGAAACATTAAAAAATAAAGAAGTACTTTCATTAAACAAAAGTCCTGGCACTAAAAAACAAGCACATATATTTAAAACCGAGTCAGGCCTTCTCCCGAGGTCCTGAGACCTGAGTCTGGCTAATGTCCGCATGGCTTGGGCCGTGAAGCGCAGGCCACTCCCAGGGGAGGGCGCTGCTGCGTACACCCGCTGGACAGAGGCTTTTTGAAAAATTGTCCTCCCTTCAGTCCCGATCCAAAACAAAACCTAAGTCTCCTCAAATTCCAGAGCAGCACATCATAATCTTTCGGTTTTAATTTTTTTTATTTGGAAATATTTTTAAACTCACAGAAAAGTGACGAGTAGGAAAGTTGCACAGGGAACACCCTTAGCCCAGTGCCCACATTCACCTCCTGTTACCACGTCCCACGCGCTGGTGAGCCACGAATGTCATGGCCCTTCTTCCCAGCAGATGCTGCCATGTCTGCCTGTGGAGGGCGGGGCGTTCTCTAGCTCCGGTGCAGCTGTTAGTTTAGTAAATGTCACGAGGACACGCTGTTGGGTCTAATCTACCACTTGTTTTCCAAATTGGTCAGTGATGCCCTTACAGCCCTGGCCTGTCCACTACAGGATTGGTCTGGGGCTCGTGTATGTTTAGCTCCCAGTCTCTCTGCCTTCTTCAGTCTGGAACATGTCCTCAGCCTTTCTTTGGCTTTGATGACATTGACATTTCTCTCTTTTTTAAAATAGAGTTTTATTGGTTTCAGAGAGGAAGGGAGAGGGAGAGAGCGACAGGAACATCCATGATGAGAGAGAATCATGGATCGGCCGCCTCCTGCACGCCCCACACTGGGGACCAAGCCCGCAACCTGGGCCTGGGCCCTGACGGGGAATCAAACCCCGACCGCCTGGTTCATAGGGGGACGCTCAACCACTGAGCCGCGCCAGTCACACGATGACATTGACGTTCCTGAAGCATCTGTCTTAACCATGGCCAGTACGATGCAAAGGGAGGGGAGAGGAATGAGGTGGCGCCCTGTCTTCTCATTCCAGGCGGAATTCAAGAAGCTGCTGTATGGCCTCTGCTTCTTCCACGCGTTGGTACAAGAGCGACGGAAATTCGGGCCCCTGGGCTGGAACATTCCTTACGAGTTCAACGAGACTGACCTGCGGATCAGCGTCCAGCAGCTGCACATGTTCCTGAACCAGTACGAGGTACCGCAGAGGTGACAGCGGGCGGGGCCTGCTCTGCTCTCCATCCCCTTGTGCGTGTGTGTGCAGTGAGCGGGACCTCTGGCTCATCCCTGCTCAGGGGCGATGACCAGCAGGACCGTGCCCAGCAGCTCAGGACGCGGTGCTTTCTTACAACAGGGTCTCCTAACTGCTGCAGGAGGCAGCCAGCATGTCCGTTTGTCTATTAGGGACTATATTTTATCATTGATTTTGAGGCATACACACCTACGGGCATCTGAAAAGTGATTGTACTTGTTTTGGAAAAGATTTGAGAATATCATCAATTAGCCAGGCTCCAAAATGGGGGGCGAGGGGGGGGGCGGGGAGCCGACTCGTTCCCTTCTGTTCCGGAGCCTGACTTCATGTGTAGAGAAATGTCACTGTGCGCAGGGGAGGGGGTGGGATCTAAAGAATAAGTGGGAGGTTTTCAGGCACCTCCTATGAAGAAGCAACGATGAAATGGCTTTTAAAAGGGGCAAATAATGGGTGCCGATAGCAAATGGTTATATTGTCCTCGTACATCTGAAAATAATATAATGTAATATCAACTATACCTCATTTTTTTCTTTTTTTTTCTCTTTAAAAAAAATATATTTTATTGATTTTTTACAAAGAGGAAGGGAGAGGGATAGAGAGTTAGAAACATCTTTGAGAGAGAAACATCGATCAGCTGCCTCCTGCACACCCCCTATTGAAAATGTGCCCGCAACCAAGGTACATGCCCTTGACCGGAATCGAACCTGGGACCCTTGAGTCCACAGGCCGACGCTCTATCCACTGAGCCAAACTGGTTAGGGCTCTTTTTTTTTTTTTCAAATGCAAATTTGTGGAAAGGTTTGGTTAACTGTAGTGATTTGGAACTTTCTCGTGGCCCATGCTGACTGATCTGGGAGTTTACTCCATGGCTATTGGTGTGATTTTAAGAGGATGTTTGCATTTTAGAACGATCACCCTAGCAACCAAGTGGAGAATAGATCAGAGGGACTTAGATGAAAGGCCAGTTTGTTATCGTATGAGTTGAATTGTGTCCCCTCCTAAATTCACCACCTTCAGTTCCAGTTCTACCAAAGAACAAGTCTCAGAATTTCCAACTCCCGCTTCAATGACTTCCCCTCTCTGGTCTCTTCCCTGGCACCATTATTTCTATTGAAGAGACTCCGCAAAGGGGAATCACTGGAATGCAGGATTCATACACTTAAACTTCTGACAGGTAACTAACTACAGGAAGGGCATGATCAGCATAAAAATGACCCAGAAAATCCTAAAATAAAAAATTGCTGAGTTTTAGGAGAAAATATTTTAAAATTTTGCCATATTAAAATGCCACAAAGAGTTAAACATCATACAAATAAAAGACAAATGAAAATTGGAGAAAATATTTAAAATTCATCTGACAAAATAATTGTTATCTTTATAAAGAGCTTTTTAAAAATATATATATATTTATTAATTTCATAGAGGAAGGAAGAGGGAGAGAGAGATAGAAACATCAATGATGAGAGAGAATCATTGATTGGCTGCCTCCTGCAGGCTCCCCACTGGGGATCGAGCCTGCAACCTGGGCATGTGCTCTTGACTGGAATTGAACCTGGGACCCTTCAGTCCGTAGGTCGATGCTCTATCCACTGAGCCAAACCGGCTAGGGCTATAAAGAGCTTTTAAAAATGGGAGAAAAAAGGATACTCATTCAGATTAGAAAAACACCTAAAAGGACAGAGTAGACGATTTAACAAAATAAGAAATGCAAATGGTAAACCCCTTTTACATGTTAATATAAAAAAATAAACTTAAAAAATGCAAACAATGTCATCGTTTGTCAGTGTGTGTTCCTAAATGACAGCACTCAGTTTTGTTGAGAGCACTAAGAAATAGAATTCTCTGTACTGCTGGGTGTTTAGGTTAGGTATTTGTGCTGAAGTTAAAAGAAATTGCAATATGAAAAGTTATTCCTGTTGCATGCATAAACATTTAAACATTCTGTATACAAGAGACTATAATAAAAAAGCAAACTAACAGGAGAGTATTTGCATAAATTTGATAAATAAAGGTCAATTTATAAAACAGCTTATGCAAATCAAGTAAAACTATTAAAACTTCATTGAGAAATGAGTTGGAGGCTCGCTCACAGCAGCACAGATGTTATTAAACATATGAAAACATATCAGACTGAGTTTGACAATTGCCGTGACCCATCAGGAAAGCAATTTCATGACACTCACCGCCTGCTTTTCATAAGCTCCTTCCCTTCGACGTAGTGACTTCCTTTTCGGAAATCTAGACGATCAAATCCTTAGAAACGTGTATTTACTGAAAAATGATTTGAAACAGTAGAAAATTAAGAGCAACTGAAGTGTTCCATATTAGAAGATAGTTATTAAAATAGTATTCTCGGAGAGTATTTCGTAAAATGGTACAAGATTCTCACGAGTTCATACCATAACAAGGTATATTGTATATAGAGTATGATTCAAATTGTCAAAATATATCTATAATAATATGCAAATTGACCAAACGACCAAACAGCAAAATGACCATCCAGAAGACCATGCTATGACACCCACTGATGGCAGGCCAGCCAAGGCGGGTGGCGATGCGATTGGTCAGAGGGCCCTGCCATCGCCCCACGATCGCCCCCACAGAGGGAGGTCCAGGCTGCCCAGCCAGTCGCGCTGCGGCAGGTGGGCGGGGCCTCCCTCTGGGTGGCAATCAATCGCGGAGCCCTGGCCTGGTAGCCTGGTCCTCCCTCTTTGAGGCGATTGATATTTTCATGTACATTTTACTAATTTTCTTTCATCTCTGACACTTCTATTATAGAGAAAGGGCAAATAGCCATATTAAAATATTTCCTCCAATTAATTCCCTTTCAATGTGCACCGGGCCACTAGTATGGATATAAAAAGGAAATCAACACTGGTTATCTCTGAATTATACTGGATTGGTTCCGAATGTCACTCAGCTGTGAGAGGTTTCCGAGGATGGTCTTCTGGCCATTTCACTGTGTGCCTGGTTCTTTAACGCTGGGTGAGCCGTGAGTTCCCGGGCTGCTAGAGGAGTTCTGTTCTCTGCACTGTGTGGGGACAAACCACAGAAGGAGAGAGGACGAAATGGAGGGGAAGGCCACAGTCAGCAGGGGAGTGTATAAAGGGACACTGTGTTCACGCCAGCCTTCAGGAAGGTGTTTCAATCCGGTGAACCAACTAGAATCCCGTGTCGCGGAATGTGTGACCGGGAACTGGCTGAGACCCTGAGCTCTTGGTTCCAGGAGCTGCCCTACGACGCCCTGCGGTACATGACGGGCGAGTGCAACTACGGCGGCAGGGTGACGGACGACTGGGACCGCCGCACGCTGCGCAGCATCCTCAACAAGTTCTTCTGCGCCCAGCTGGTGGAGGACCCGGGCTACAAGTTTGACTCGAGCGGCATCTACTTTGCGCCCCCTCCTGGTGAGGTAAGTGTGTCCTTCTGGGAACTCCGAGTGGTAGACGTGGAGGTGCTCTGCTAGGGGAAAGGATGGTTCCAGAAGCCTTGTTTCCTGTTAAACCTGGTGTGAGCTCCCTTCGGTGTCATCAGGACAAAGCACACCCTGGCATAGACACCGTGGTCTCCTGCGGCTGTGGTGGGAGGGGAGCAGAAATGTCCCTCAGCCAAGAACGCTTCCTCGGTGACCTGAGGCTCTCTCAGCGTGAAGTCAGTCCTTTGGGTAAAAAGCCATTGTCCCCAATTGAACAGGGAACACACACACGAGGGGGTAAAAGTAATATGAACAATAAGAGGGAACACATGTCATGCTTAATTATTTACAAAGTGGTTGGAGGTCATGGTTGACACTGGTAGTACTAGTCTATCCCTTTTACCAGTGAAAAAGCAAGTACGCTCAACTCGAATGACTCGCCCAGCGCCGCTCAAGGAGAGAGCGGCCGTCACAGAACCACCTGCCGCACCAGGCCAAGGCCCCCTTTGGCTGTTTTGTCCCAGTCCTGTCTGGTGGGAGACTTCGTATCTGCTTTCAGATCACCACACAGTACATTTCCAGGCCAGTCAGATTGGTTCTCGTTTCATTCCCGGGAGTCAGAAGGCACCTATTGAAAGTTAAACGCATGGCCACGCCCAACACAGATCTGTCCTATAACCCCCCAACCCTGGCCTGTCGTCCACCGGGATTAATGCCAGCTGAGGTCGAGTATCCATGGGATGAAGAGAAAACTCCATCCCAGAGCCTATGTCATTGATTAGGTGTAGCAAGTCACATGGGGAATCATGGGGAATAAGCTCTCCAGCAGTGGGTGGCAAAGGACCCAAAGCATGGGGCCTTCCCACCCATATTGAAAACCATCAATGAACAAGCCCCCCAATCAACATGTATGTGTTTGTATATGATTAGATGAGCATCCAGAAATAGATGGGATGTTGGTAGAAGGCCAAGTAAATAAATGTAAAATGAGAGCGCACCTGCAGAAAAAGATGTGCAACGTTAATGATGGCCGTTATCTCAGGACAAGACATTTTCGGATTATTCTTACTTTTCTGAATTATGTGGATTTATCACAATAAGAGTCCAGATGAAAAGTCAGAGTAGAGCCTAAAAAAATTTATTGTGATCACAATAAATTAAGAACGGTCATCAGCAAAATGCGGCACAGAAAGGTTTCTCTGGGAGAAATTTCTAAATGAAGCGGCCAGGACAATCCTCTCCCTGTTTTAAAATTCATTCCGATTGAGTGATACCGTTTCTTTTTTTTTTTTAATATATTTTATTGATTTTTCACAGAGAGGAAGGGAGAGGGATAGAGAGTTAGAAACATCGATGAGAGAGAAACATCGATCAGCCACCTCCTGCACACCCCCTACTGGGGATGTGCCCGCAACCAAGGTACATGCCCTTGACCGGAATCGAACCCGGGACCCTTGAGTCCGCAGGCTGACGCTCTATCCACTGAGCCGAACCAGTTAGGGCAATACCGTTTCTTTTTTCTCTCTAAATGTGTTCATATCTTCTTTAAAAAAACAAAACACAAAAACCTTGGCTGAGGTGACAAGAAAAGGAAGGCATTCAGTGTCTGGTCTCACAGGCTCATCCACTCAATAGTCGGGGTGTTGAAAGGCATCTCTTTTCGGTGGGAAAGTTCTACAGGAAATTGACTGCTAACCTCCCAACTCCCCGCTCCTCATCTCTGCAGCACAAGAGCTACATCGAATACACGCAGACCCTGCCGCTGACCCCGGCCCCGGAGATCTTCGGGATGAACGCCAACGCAGATATCACCAAAGACCAGTCAGAAACGCAGCTGCTCTTCGATAACATTCTCCTCACCCAGGTGTGCGATCTTACAGCGCTGGGTCCTGAGGCTGGAATGTGTGAGCGCAGTAGGGGCCCGCACACACAATTCTGTCTGTGGAGGTGGATAACCACGTTAAGGAAAAGAAAAATACGTATTCATGCCTTTCGTATGGATTTAAGCAAAGTACACGGATGTATGGGGTGTTTTTCATCAATCTGTTGACCTGGAGAGAACCTTTGAGTACATTTTGCTGCTAGGAGGTCTTGGAGTGACGTTCTTTGAGTCCCTCTGAGCATTCTTTGATAGCATTCTGCTGCTAGAATTCCATTTCCCCTTTCGTGCATAAACCATGCCTAAATGTATGACATAGATGGCCCTTTACATTCCTCTTAAGAGGAAGAAGAATCTCAAAGCTACTTGGGAAGCAGTTGATACAGAATCCATCTAGAATTTTGCCTATTTTCTGGTCTCTTACTAATTCACTAGCAACTTTTAAAATGACTTATTTTTTGTCAAATATTCCATAATGTTTAATCTAGTTTACATAGAAACAGTATCTTTCACATCAGTATTTTATCAGATTATATAATATTTAAAGAATACAGTGGTACCCGGCCAGCATGGCTCAGTTGAGTGTCAACCTAAGAACTAGGAGGTCACGGTTTGATCCCCCGGTTGCGGGCTTGATCCCCTGTGTGGGGCGCGCAGGAGGCAGCCGACCAATGACTCTCTCTCATCATTGATGTTTCTATTTCTCTCTCCTTCTTACCTTCCTCTCTGACATCAATAAAAATATAGATTTTTTAAAAAAATAATACAATTGCAATAGTAAGTACAAGGTGGGGGAAAAAGTTTAGGAGAAAAATACAGTAACTCTTGGTAAGTAAGCAGCTCCACTGGTGAGAGCGTGAAGGGCAGGGCAGGTCAGAGTTCACGGCCAAGGCACAGAATTCAGCAGGCCCCGGGCAGGCGTCCACACGCTCAAAGGGTAAATATTTAATCTCGCTTGTCTATTAAGATCTTCTCTTGTATTGTTCTCCCTTTAGATGTGCCCAATTGTTGTTGGTTGTTGTTTTTCGTTTTTGAAAGCAAGTTAGTCCAAATGGCAAGAGTTCCCTTAGAGAATGAATGAAATTTTAATAAGTTAAGGATGACCGTTCGCTGGTGTTGCATAGAACCGGGCACCAAGATTCCTAGTCAGGACACGTGCCCGGGTTTCGGGCTAGATCGCCAGCAGGGGATGTGCAGGAGGCTTTCTCCCTCATCGATGTTTCTCTCTCTCTTTCTCTCCCTTCCTCCCCCTTCCTCTCTCTTTAAAAAGCAATAAATATGTAAAAATAAGTTAAGGATGATTATTCAGTCCAGCAAATTTTTTCTCAAAATGAAGCCTATCTGACCTTTTTATTTTTGCGGAATCTCGGAGTAATAAGGGTGGTTAGTATTATGGAGCGCTTACAGCGTGCCAGCACTATTCTCGGTGCCTGCAAAATCCTGTGAAGTGGAGGCCGACTACTCTCCTTTTACAGGAATAAAACAGACACAGCAAGATTCAGGAGTTTACCCAAGGTCAGCAGGACAATTTCAAGCCAGGACTCAAAGCCACGCAGGCTGACTCCCACTAGGTTGGCTCTAGAATCCGTGTTCTGATCCTCTACGCTATCCTGTCTTTCTAGGTTCTAAAATGGGATAAGACTTAGATAACATAACCAGAAATGCTGGGGGCGGGGGGCGGGGGGGTGGGAGGGAGAAAGAAAGAAAAAGAAAGGAAAAAAGAAAGAAAGAAAAGAAAGAAAGAAAATTAGTTGGATGTTACTTTCTAAACATAGCACCCCAATTATGTAATAATTATGTAATTTTGGATTGTGAGAAATAGGTAGACAGAAATGTTTGTGTTACTGAAATATTTTTCTTATATTTTGAAGGGCTATTGTCAGGGATTTGTTTTCTTAGTTTTTTGTTTGTTTGCTTGCTTGTTTTTTGGTGGAAGCACAGCTCTTGTTAGAAAATAGGAATGTTTTCGCTCTAGTCTAGCTGGTTTGGCTCAGTGGATAGAGTGTCAGCTTACAGACAGAAGGGTCCTGAGTTTGATTCCAGTCAAGGGCACATGCCTGGGTTGCAACCTCGAACCCCAGTGGGGGGCATGCAGGAGGCAGCCAATCCATGATTCTCTCTCATCATTGATGTTTCTATCTCTCTCTCCCTGTCCCTTCCTCTCTGAAATCAATAAAAATATACTTAAAAAAATAGGAATGTTTTGAATGAGTTTAAAGCACCTTTTATGCACAGCAAAATACAAATAGAAATCAGATATGATTCTTTAAATGCAATGGAAATAGATAATTTTTCACTAGTTTTGGCCAAATATTCATTATCTCCTTTTTTCTCTAATTTGTCATATATTTATTTGTAAACCTGGTACTCAGGACCATAATAAAGAATTAGCACATTCTAATATTGGCATATCCCTTTGGTACTAACATGTAACTAACACTTATCAACATTAATTTTTATTATTGTGCAACTTCATAGGGTTTTATGGTGGTATGTGCTAGGTAGCTGTAAAGATCTCACTAGAAACTTAAGTAAAGTCAACGTTTATAGAGTAGACCCGATGTGAAAACCAGGAAATATAAAATCTGAAATAAGACCAAACACAATTTCTTAGGACTGGAAAAATATGAGATATTCATTTATATTCTAACAGTGCCTGCTCTCTTTCAACACACACACACACACACACACACACTCATTTATTCTGAGGATCCACGGGTTTTCCAGAAAACGCAGGCTCATTTACACAGCACCACTGCAGACATGAACATGAACATGGAGCTGCAGAGCCCCTTCCTGGCCTCCAGTGTGAGGCCCGCCTCCCGCCATCACTCTTCCCGCTGAGGGAGGCCGTGCTGCTCTCGGTGCCTCCTGCTTCCAGGGGAGAACCGTCGCCCTGCGTTTGGCGACCAGTAGGCGCAGAGCTATAAGCAAACACATCGCGCCTCGGGCTTTCTCAATTCTCAGCCCATCTCCTCTCGCTGGGCTTTAACACCCGCCACCGACGTGAATGCTTTCCCCCCCTCCCCACAGCACCTGCTCCACCCACCAGGTGGCTCAGGGGGTAGCTTAGTCCCCTCCCCCAGGCCCTTTGGGCCTCTGCACACTGTGGTGTCCTCCTTCCTCCTCGCTAACTACTGTCATCTCCCGACACGCCACGCCATGCCTGTGACCATCACTCAGTCCACCGTGTGTGGAGGAGGGTCGGAGGTGATGAAACAGCCGGGCGGCACCCCTGACAGTCCCCTGAGCTTCCCCACCCGGCATTCTCCTCCCTCGATGAGGACCTCTGACTCCCAGCGTGGGTTCTCTCTCCCTCAATGAGGACCTCTGACTCCCAGTGTGGGTTCTCTCTCCCTCAATGAGGACCTCTGACTCCCAGCGTGGGTTCTCTCTCCCTCAATGAGGACCTCTGACTCCCAGCGTGGGTTCTCTCTCCCTCAATGAGGACCTCTGACTCCCAGCGTGGGTTCTCTCTCCCTCAATGAGGACCTCTGACTCCCAGCGTGGGTTCTCTCTCCCTCAATGAGGACCTCTGACTCCCAGCGTGGGTTCTCTCAGTCTCGTTCCGCAGAAGCTGGCGCCAAATCCTCCGAGGAGGTGGTGAATGAGGTCGCGGGCGACATTTTGGGGAAACTGCCCAACAACTTTGACCTGGAGGCTGCGATGAGGAGGTACCCAACCACCTACACTCAGAGTATGAACACTGTGCTCGTGCAGGAGATGGGCCGCTTCAACAAGCTGCTGCAGACCATCCGGGAGTCGTGCATTAACATCCAGAAGGCCATCAAGGTGAGGGGAAGGCCCAAAGGAAAGGCAAGCCCCAAATCAAATTTCTGAACTTCCTCCCTAAACTCTTCCTCTAACGGTTGTCTTCATATCAAACATGCCAGGTTCGCCCTGGCTGGTTTGGCTCAGTGGACTGAAGGGTCCCTGGTTCAATTCCGGTCACTGGGCAGGCTTGATCCCCAGTGTGGGGCGTACAGGAGGCAGCCCATCAATAATTCTCTCTTATTATTGATGTTTCTCTCTCTCCCTCTCCTTTCCTCTCTGAAATCAATGCAAATATACACATATAATAAAAGCATAATATGCTAATTAGACTAGATGACCTTTGGACGAAGCCTGGGCTGTAAGGGAAGCCCCGGTTCCGGGTGCCAGAGGGAAGCTGGTGCTGGCAGCCAGGGAAAGGAAGGCCTACTGTTGCACGAATTTCGTGCATCGGGCCTCTAGTACACATATAAAAAAGAAGAAGAAAGAAAAGAGACGTGCAGCCGGCTGGCTGTAGTGTGATCTCCCGGGCTGGCTGCAGGGTATCTGGCTGGGCTGCTTGGCTAAGCTGCACTCAGTGTCATGCGCTTCTCCTTGACCTGGTCCTTCTGGTTTCCTTCCGCCTCTAGCATCTGAGAGCCCACAGGGAAAGGAGGCCCCCAGGATCTCAGCGCCCAGCAAACACGCATCCCCTGCTTTCCGATCTCAGTGGGGCCCTCATAACTCACTGAGCCGCGACCCCACTCCAGGGACTTCTTCACGTCCTTTCCAGGTCTCACTTGAGCGAGGTGATGCGCAGGTTTGTGGGAGGAGCCCTAGGAGTCTGTTTTTTAAATTAGGTTTCAACCATCTTTCTCCTCTGGCCCCCCTTCCTCTCCTCGCGGCGCCCAGGGCCAGCGCCCTAAGTGTTTGGGGCATTCTTCCATGGGTACCTCGCTGACCCGTAGCTTTGCCCTCTGCCAGCTGAGGCCGGGTTTCTCCTGACCACGACGCCGATTGCCAATGGCTCCTATGCGTGTTAGTGTCATGGTGGTGGACACCTGAAGCAGATGCCGCATGTCCATTACACCTCAATTAAAGTGTTTCCATTAAAATCTGAATAGGTGAACATTTCTCATATTTTTCTGAGGAATAGTTCAAAGACTCCAGGACTTACCTGTGAGCAAAAGAAAATATCTTTCCTCTCTTTGTTTGCTGTATGACTCAACCTTAACTCATCACCGTTGTAAACAGGATAATTGTGAAGAAGGTCCGTGATCACGCTAACCAGAGGTTAACTGTGCTCCAGGGGCTGTTGGTGATGTCTACAGACCTCGAAGAGGTGGTCAGCAGCATCCTGAACGTCAAGATCCCAGGGATGTGGATGGCCAAGTCCTACCCGAGCCTCAAGCCCCTCGGCAGCTACGTGAACGACTTCCTCACCAGACTGAGGTTCCTGCAGGTGAGTCCATGGAGACACACACATGTTCCGCTCCCTCCGGTCTCCCTTCTTCATCTGCGATGCGGCTCGCTCTCTCGTTTTCCTGGGCGTTTCAAGCACAACTGACCACGGCTCGCTCTCACATATGGTCAGCTGCTCCCCTGAGCGGCCTAGCTCCTCGCCGTGGCAGGAGAATGTCTGAAAGCTGGTGTAGGAGCACGTGTGCATGTTCAGTGAGGCGGGATGTTCAAGTCAAAGACAGGTGAAGAGAGAAAGCAGCTGGTGATGTTGATTTTTCCTTCCATATTTAACGTCAAATTAGGTCCCTAGAGCAGAGCATCTGAGACAGCCGGCCAGGCAGAGCGAGCCGTGTGGCCTCCCTGCCCAGCACCCGCCGGGCATCTGTCCCTGGATGGTGGGCCCCCCGGCACAGTGACGGCCCCAGCGGCTCGCTGTCCTCCACGTGTCGGGCGGGCTGTCCTCCTAACCACCTGGCAATCGCGGTGCTTCCCCATGTTCTTATTAACAGTGACACTCACTCGCAGCATTAATGAGCGTCCTAGATCCCGTACGTGATGCGTAAGAAGATTGCCTGTCCGCAGGGGTAGGCGACTGAACTTCCCGAACACAGGCCGGCCGCCGTGCTGGCGCCGAAACGGAGGAAGTGAGGCTGTTCTGGAGAGATGAAGGCTCTGCCTCGGACTCTCACAGGGAAAATCCTCCGGGTGTCTTTCTTCAGATGCCTCTGTAATCCCGCATTTAGTTAGTCACTGTGCAACTCGCTTCTTACACTACAGGCCAGACTATCCGGGTGTCTTGGGGTAAAGACCCCAAGCTCTCCCTCCCTGTTTCTGCTGGGCACGCCTGTCTGACAGTGTTCCTGCCGGCTGAATTTCGTTGTATTTTGGTAAAGGAGGTGGGAAAACTCCCAAAGGAATGGTGTACTGGCTACCGTGACCAGAGAGAGAAAAGGTGAAAAGACATGAGCACCGGCCCAGCTGGGTAGGCATGCCCTCCTCTGCTGCTCCACTAGGTGACACGATGCCCGTGCAGCACGTGTGTTAGTGTTCACTGCTGCACGGAGTGCGTCGGAAGGAGCCACTAGGTCAGTGATACAACGGACATTGACATCTGCATCCCGCATGTGTTGGCACTTGAGCTGGTCCGGTGGGTGTAAAACTGAAGCCAGCACAAAACACAGAAGCTGCTACTTACTTTTAAAACCTTCAGAGAATGGCTTTATATCCCTCAGGTATTAGTTTACCTAAGAGATAACGGAGGGAGCCCTGGGGAGTAGTTTGAACGTGGCCGGGCCCTGTGCTTTGACCCCTAGCAATGGTACGAGGTGGGCCCGCCTCCGTCCTTCTGGCTCTCCGGCTTCTTCTTCACACAAGCCTTCCTGACCGGCGCCCAGCAGAACTTCGCCCGGAAGTACACCATCCCCATCGACCTCCTCGGGTTTGACTACGAAGTGCTGGAGGACAAAGACTACAAGGTCCCTCCGGAAGACGGTAAGTGCGGTGGCGGCACGAGCTGGCTTCTCTCTAGGCTCCACGGTTAAACCTTTTAATCATCATGTATGTAACGAAGTGACTGAGAAAAACCATTATGGGGGGAGAGAGAATGTGATAAAGCAAATGGAGATACAAGGAATCCGAATAAAGAGTGTATGTCCTGTGTACTGTTTTATCCTTGCAAAATGTCATAAGTTTGAGATTATCTACACTAATAAAAAACAAAGATGCTAATTGACCATACCTTCGCTATGCCCATCAGCCAATCAGAAGAGTATGCAAATTAACCCAACAAAGATGGCCGTTAAATTTGCATACTGCAGGCGGGGTGGGACAGCACGATCCGCCACCCTGCCCCACCGCCAGTAGCCATCCGGGCCTGCCGTGTGCGACCCAGGGAGGCGGGCCTAAGCCAGCAAGTGGTTATCTCCCAAGGGGTCCCAGACTGTGAGAGGGCACAGGTTGGGCTGAGAGACAACCCCCCCCCCCCCCGCTGCCAGTGCACAAATTTTTGTGCACCGAGCCTCTAGTTTCCAATAAAAAGTAGGGAGAAAGTAATCACCAAATCCATCATCCATGTGTCCAAGGCAACTCCACTTCCTTACTCACTGGCTCACTCTGTTAGACACGGGGGAGATCAACAGTGGACGCTTTAGACAGGATCTTGACCCGCAACCAAGCTATACTCCATGGGAGATGCTAGCAAACGGGTATGTGATCACAACAGTGTGGGACAATCACGTCGCTGTGCCGAGTGATTTTACTTTACATCGACTGTCACAAATCGCAAGGGGGTTTGTAACACTGTGACGCAATCCTACTAGCACTTCCTGGGAAGTCACTTTCCCCCTCGAAAAACAAACAAATGCCGTGCCTCGCTCGTCCTTCCCTCTGCTCCCACTTCACACCTCATCCCTCACTGAAAGAATAAGAGGCCGCGAGAAGAGAGCTTTTAGCAACACCACCTCTATTACTCTGTCCACATCTGCACTCTCTGATAGTCCAAATCCTATGGGCGGTCCAGGGTCTATTTTCCCTCCTTTCAAGGGTTTTTGCTCCTCCAATTGTGCCCTCTTTTTCTAAAATCAACAGCATCCTTCTCACTACTGGATAATTCCTATCAGCATGCAGCATGCTCTAGAATCTCTCTTCTTAAAAGACAGAAAGCCCAGCCAGTGTGGCTCAGTGGTTGAGCATCGACCTATGCACCAGGAAGTCACGGTTCGATTCCCCATCAGGGCACATGCCCAGGTTGCAGCCTCGATCCCCAGTGTGAGGCATGCAGGAGGCAGCCAATCAATGATTCTCTCTCATTGATGTTTCTATCTCTCTCTTCCTCTCCCTTCCACTCTGAGATCAATAAAAATATTTTTAAAAATCAACAAAAAATTACAGTTATTTTAACACTCACATGCCCTTAGCTATGGTCCCATGTCTCTGCCCCCCTTTATAGCAAATTTGTCAAAAGAACTATCTTTTCGTGCCATCTCCAGGTTCTCACTTCTTATTTCCTATTTACCTTTCAGCCTCTCCAATCACCTGATGCTATTCTTTTCAGAGTTACTAATGACCTCCATGTTGACAAATCCATGAATGCTCTTCTGTTTTCATCTAAACTTCTTAGCAATTTTTACTAATTGACAACTTCCTCTTTCTGGAGGCATCCATCTCCCTTTGCCTCCAAGACATCACCTCTCCTGATTTTCCTTTTTTCTCTGGACATGTTCATGCTCTTGGCTAGCTTATCCTTCTCTCAATGATGAGAGGGAATCATTGACCAGCTGCCTCCTACAGGCCCTACACTGGGGATGGAGCCCACGACCCCGGCCTGTGCCCTGATGGGGAATCGAACCGTGACCTCCTGGTTCACACTCAACCCCTGAGACCCTGGCCAGCCGGAGTGGGTTTTATATGCTACTTCACACAGGCTGGCACCCGATTGGCTGATTTGACTCTAACGACTCCAGGAGGCAGACAAAGCAGGCATCATTGTCTTACAAATGCCCCCAGCTCTTCTCCAGATGACAAAACTGGTCTGAAGTTGAAGGAATTGCCCCAGGTCACCAGCACCTCAGGAACAGAAGCCCAGGCGTGAGCTCCGCACTGCTTGGCTGTGGTCCTACTGGTGTTGCCACCCATGTCTGCAGTGCAGCCCCTACCTGTAGGGCAGGAGGCTCCACACTAACGGGAAAAGAGAGAGAGAGAGAGAGAGAGAGAGAGAGAGAGCCATGGGGTTCCCCCGAGTCCCGAACGTGCACTCGTCAGCTGGGAATGGGCCGCGATCTGTTCCGGGGAGCTCATCCTCTGTCCTTGGCGTGAGATCGGCTCTAAAAGGGACGAGAAAGTGAACTCTCCGGACGCGAGGGATCTGCGGAGGGCATGGGTGCGCATGCCCCGAAGCCACTGGGTCCCTGACAGCACTGAGTAACCTGCAGATTTCCTGGCCCCTGACACGGGTCCACTCAATATACAAATCTGATTGTGTTCGCACAGATGAATTTAAACTGCTTTGCTCTGTTGTCTCCCACGTGTAATTATACCACGGAATTAACTGCCTAGGCAAATTGTAGACATTCTCGAAATACGGACGTGAAAGCCCAGCACTGAGAACGAACGTTGCGTTTTGCGTTAGCACAAGCTTTGGCTGCTGACCTGGGACAACCTGCATAGTCTTCAGGGTAGGAATTTCAGATTCAGAACTCCGTTTGCATATTTAAAGTGTTGTATTAACACCTGCTTCTTTTATATTTAGGTGTCTTAATTTATGGATTATTTTTGGATGGAGCTTCCTGGAATAGAAAGATAAAGAAACTTGCAGAATCACATCCCAAAATTCTTTATGATATAGTGCCTGTGGTTAGTATTTTCCAAGGGTATATATGTGGGGGGCTATTTTACACACACGTGCACACACACACACAGTCAACTCATTATTCAGGATAATCATGTTTCATAAAGTTTTTTTAAATTGAATTTTAGAGAGGAAGGGAGGGAGAGAAACATTGATTGGCTACCTCCCACATGCGCCCCAACTGGGGATCAAACCTGAAACCCGGGCATGTGGTCTGACCAGGAATCGAACTAGTGACCCTTTGGTGTTGCTGCCAACATTGAATTAGTGGACACTGAACTACCACTTCCAGGAGAAATGCTAACTGATCAATACATAACCTCGTTTTATTTGTGTTTCTGTCTAAAGGCACTTTCTCTCTATATATAAAAGCCTAATATGCAAATTGTCCCCTCAGGAGACCAGGAGTTGGATCACTCGCTATGACATGTGCTCACCACCAGGGGGCGGTGCAGAATAAAGGGAGGCCCCAGCCTGCAGCTGGCAGCCAGCAGCCAGCAGCAAGCAGCCAGGGAAGGAAGGCCATGGCCAGCAGCAGGAAGGCCCTGATCAGCCCTGGTCACCAGCCAGGCCTAGGGATCCTACCTGTGTAGGAATTACATGCACCGGGCCTCTAGTATTTGATAATATTGTAGACCCATGACCATTGAACTCAGGAACTCGAGTGCTGTAGCTTGTGCCTGAACGGAGCTGACAGGACTTTCCCCATAAGGCACGCCACAGCCACAGCCTGTGTGCACATAGGAACACCAGACAGCCCTGCAGCGTGACACTTGGGGGTCCTTTTAAACGGAAAAATCGCCACTAACAACTACAAAGATCCACAAAAATGTTTAAAGCTGGTCATTAAGTAAACCATCGAAAGGATAGGTAGTTATGAGAGATGAAACAAAAGTCAGACAGAGACACTGTGGGCCGAGCCAGTTCCAGAATGAGATCCGAACTGGCAGTCACAAGGGCAGGTGTGCAGTGTCAGGAGTTGATTGGTATCGGATGTTTCCTCCTTTCACGTGGAAACGCTTAAGTCAGTGGTTCTCAACCCAGGGGTGGGCAAACTTTTTGACTTGAGGGCCACAATGGGTTCTTAAACTGGACCGGAGGGCCGGAACAAAAGCATGGATGGAGTGTTTGTGTGAACTAATATAAATTCAAAGTAAACATCATTACATAAAAGGGTACGGTCTTTTTTTTTTTTTTAGTTTTATTCATTTCAAACGGGCCGGATCCAGCCCGCGGGCCGTAGTTTGCCCACGACTGTTCTCAACCTGTGAGTCGCAACCCCTTTGGGGGTCGAACGACCCTTTCACAGGGGTTGCCTAAAACCATCGGAAAACACATATATAATTACATATTGTTTTTGTGGTTAATCACTATGCCTTCATTATGTTCAATTTGTAACAATGAAAATACATCCTGTATATCAGATATTTACATGACGATTCATAACAGTAGCAAAATTACAGTTATGAAGTAGCAACGAAAATAATTTTATGGTTGGGGGTCAGCACAACATGAGGAACAGTATTAAAGGGTCGCGGCCTTAGGAAGGTTGAGAACCACTGGCTTAAATAGTTGCAGTTGGCTGGAGGGTGCTCGCCTGGGGCCCCGAATTGCTGGCTGCTCTGCGCGTGTGTGCACAGGGCCAGGAAGAGGCAGGTGCTGATGTCAGGATGACGAACACATGTTAGTGCTCGGCGAGCGTGCCAGGACAGAACCCAGGAGTGGTGAGGATCAACTGCAGGTATGGATCCACATACGCACGCACACGTCTTATTGTGTAATTTTTTTCTTATATAACCTTGACCTAGAAATGTGAAATTTACAGATTAAAAGATTACTATCTGAAACGCACCCACGTAAAGTATGTTTTCTAGGCACCCATTCAGCACGGACAGACTAAACCATGTAAATACTGAGTTACCATCTGTCACTGCGTCAGGGAAAATGGCTAGACTCTCACACAACTGGAGGGCCTGAGATGGTGCTAAAACAGGCTGTGGATTCGCAGGAATTGCTCATGGGAAACTGGGACCAGCCCAGACAGGCAGCAACCCTTCCTGCAGCTGACAGGCGGAGAGGGACCAGCTGGCAGCCAGCGGCAGGAGACCTGCCACACATGAGGGCACTGTGGGCAGAGCAAGTTCCAGAGGGAGATCGAGCTGAACGTCACAGGGCAGGTGTGCAGTCAGGAGCTGATTGGTATCGGATTTTTCCCCTTTTCACACGGAAAAGCTAAAGTAGTTGCAGTGACGAGGTCACAGTGGTGGCGAACCTTTTGAGCTCGGCGTGTCAGCATTTTGAAAAACCCTAACTTAACTCTGGTGCCATGTCACATATAGAAATTTTTTGATCTTTGCAACCATAGTAAAACAAAGACTTACATTTTTGATATTTATTTTATATATTTAAATGCCACTTAACAAAGAAAAATCAACCCAAAAAAATGAGTTCGCGTGTCACCTCTGACAGGCGTGTCATAGGTTCGCCATCACTGGACTAGGAGAAGGAATTTATAAGTGGGTGATTCTCCCAAATAGGAAGTTACTGAGTGAGACAAATTCTCATTAAGAAAGTCCACTCTTGCCCTGGCTGGTTTGGCTGAGTGCAGAGAGTGTCGGCCCGTGGACCGAAGAGTCCCGGGTTCAATTCCGGTCAAGGTCACGTACCTTGGTTGCAGGCTCCTCCCCGGCCCGGGCTCTGGTCTGGGTGCATGCAGGAGGCAACCAATCGATTTGTTTCTCTCACATTGATGTTTCTCTCTGTCTTTCCCACTCTCCCTAAAAGATCAATGGGAAAATATCCTCAGGGGAGGATTAACAACAACAACAAAACACACAAAAAAAGAAAATCCACTCTTGGTTGAAATGAAACACATCCACCCGGAGTGCCGTAAGTCCTTACGCTTAACTGGGTCTGAAACACTGTTCCGTGAATCCCCCTCGTAAGAATCTGGATCCCACAGTTACGTGGGGGAAAGACTAGCATCCTGATTAGCTCCTCCCTACAGCTTATAATTTGACCCCAGAAACCTGAGGACTCGGGATAACGGGGTCAAGCCTTATCCCCTCGGAGGGCTGCTGCTATTACTCCCACAGAGAAACGAATTCAAATAAATCCTAAAACGTTCAACTTTATGATCAGTTGGTTCTGTCTCCACCTTCAGAGGTCAATTTGCCCCCAGTCCTGCTTTGAGGTTGGTGAGGTTCAACAACGCTCACATTCTAGGAACTTGGCTGGCTCTAAAGGTAATGTGGGTGTATTGCATCTGCCTGATATACACACTAGTGACTTTAAAACACCCACCTACGCCCTGTGGTTCAGTGGGTGGGAGCGCCGTCCTGGGCACCACAGGGTTCTGGGTTCGATTCCCCGCCAGCCACATGCCCAGGTTGGGAGGTTGATCCCTGGTCAGGGTGTACGAGGGAGGCAACCGATTGGTATTTCTCTCTCTAAAACCAATTTAAGAAACAGCAACACACAATAAAAACATGTCCTCATGTGAGGATTAAAAATAATAATTACCTAAAATGGAGAAGTGATCTGGTTCCACCATCACTGATAAGAATCCCCCCGAATATCTTGGGATTGGCCTTCATTAATAAGGCAGCAGGATTTTGAGTACCCATGGCGGCAGTTTTCTTTTTAAAGTACACCTGACTTGTGTGGAAGCACCAAGTCCTCCCCAGGTAAGTAAGGTGGAGAGGGGAGGCATAGTTAGCGTGCTTTTCAACAGACAGCGGAGGTGAAAATGACTACGGATTTTTTCTCACGTAGCTTCTGAACTGTTTCTGAATAGTTCTGGGGGCTCTAAAGCAATGCTGGACCCTGGCAGCGCTGCCGACAAGAGAACTATTTGGGCCACAGAAGTTTGCAGACGTAGCTAACTCTTCTCTGTGCTTCTGTTCCAATACAACAGCCGTGACTCAGGTTTCCGCCCTTCCTTCCAGATGTGGCTGAAGCCCTGTCGGAGGACAGAAATCCCCAAACGACCAAGCTACGTGGCGCCGCTGTACAAGACCAGCGAGCGGAGGGGGACGCTGTCCACCACGGGCCATTCCACGAACTTCGTCATCGCCATGACGCTGCCCTCCGACCACCCGAAGGAGCACTGGATCGGGCGGGGCGTGGCCCTGCTGTGCCAGCTCAATGCCTAGCTGGAGGACGCCCGTCCCTGCTCCTCTCCCTACATGATCCAGTAGAAATATAGTTTCCTTTTTAAACAATCTAGTTAGTGTCAATCTGTCTAAAGTTACACTTCATTATAAACTTGTTAATGTGCAAATGCAGACTTTGTTTATGATGATTCATCTTGGGCGTAAAGAAATGTCCTCGAATAAAGATTAGACTAAAGACAGCACGCTGGCATGTTGCTCTTTTTTTAATGTCTTTATTTTGGGAGTTCCACAGGCATTAGGAACGTACATAAAATGACACACCACTGTTGACCATGAAAAAAACAGCATTGGATCATGTCAGCTTTATAAATTTTTTAAAAAAATGATTCAGTTATAACAACAAAAAGTTTAGATATTTTAGCAAGTATCACCTTGCAGGACCATCATCACATTTAAGCCACTGACGTATTGCTAACGGGAAACTCCACACTGCACTAGTTACTAGAGCACTTCTAAGCATAATCACAGCTGGTCGAATGCAATGTGAGGTACACCGGATTTCGTACGGATGTCACACGGTGACAGCATCGTACGGGCAACAGCAGTGACCTCCAACAAACACCTTAAAGCAGGCTGGCCACGCTCAATGGAATGTTGGAGCCAAACAGAAATGTAGTGGAATTCAGATTGTCTGTAAGACTTGAAATTGTGCATCAGAATGACGTGAAAACTAAACACTGGTGGAACCCTAACAAAATACTAGCAGCCACGGTTCCAGCCCTCCTCAAAGTTTAAAAAGATCTAGCAAATAAAGATAATACCGTGTCTGAGAGAATATAAAACTTCATCTACTTCAGCACAACCTATTTGCTTTACGTTGGGCATTTCAGTGGGGAGCATATGGCAGCTGCTGCCCTCCGTAAACATTTTTGAGATAAGCAGATCTAACAGTGCTGGAATGCAGAAGCTGTCTGGGTACAGAAACCCAGCAATGAACTATAAACTTGGCATGGTTCAGAAAGCAAGGTACTTGAATCACTTGAACTTGGCAGTACTAAATAAAATATCAGCACCTTTTAGCTCAGTTGCTTGAAGGGCCAAGCAATGAGATGAGGACTGCCCTAATTCAGTGCCCACTGCTGAAAATAATCCATGTAGAAAACTCCTACTCGTTCCCGGAGACCGGGGAGAAGGCCAGAAGTCACTCTGCACATCCAGGCATCCAGGAGGAAACCACCTCGCTCCCTCGCTGGCAGCAGAAAGGAGCACTGGCAGCCTCCGCTGATACCGGGGCGCCTCGCTGCTCTCAGTTCTGGTGTCTGTGGTAAAGTTCAGGAGGACAGAAACTGGGGGGAGGAGGACCGAGTGACAGTGTTCTATGGAATGGAAAGAGTTTGGCTCTTCAGTATTTGAACAGTAAGAGTTTTAGAGCCGCTACATGCGGAGCCAAGCAGATGAAAAGAAAGCTGCCTGCCCAGAGTTAAGCTCAGCTGAACTGGAATAAATGAGGACCATGTGGCACAGGGTGGAGCCGGAAAGCTCCATGCATCTGGCTGGGCTACAAATTATTAGGTCAAAATTCCGAATAGACACAGCTCGCACTTCTCACAAGTCGATCACAATGCACGGTAGGAGAACAGGGCGCCTACAAAAGAGACTAGTCCCTATCAGGCACCAACAGCACATCTTGGCACAAAATGATCAAGTGACTTCAGCTGAGTTATTTAAATCTATCTTCCAAGTCACGTGGCACTATGATAGCCACAGTATCACTAGGGATTACCCTCATAACCGATTTTTGTTTTGTTCCTTTAACACTCCATGTACGGATTATGGACATGGTACATTTGGATTTACTGTCGGCGACAGCATGGTCCCAATGCCATCTGGTAAAGCGATACGTACATTTAGAACTTAAACTTCCCAAATAACTAGTTAGTACTGTTAAAGTAGGAAAACTGAATATTTAGACCATGTATGGATTCTTCACTTCTCTGAAATTTTCTAGAGGATTACAATTTTAATAATAAAAAACATTTTACCACATGCTCCGACCTCCTAACCCACCCCTCTTCCCCCCCAAAAAAACCCCCAAAATTAAAAAACAAAACAAAAACACCCAAATACCAAGTATAATAATTAATAATACAGAGAACCATTATGAATCTTCCATTAAACTGAAGCTCACACAAACATACAATCACACATTTCAGTAGTTTAGGCTGGGAGTTTAAACACTATGTAAATATATACAAAAATAGTAACTCTAGATTCAAGAATAAGGACTTTTCCCAATGCTAAATCCACACCCTACTGTGGCCTGAGCTCTCCTCTGGGCCCTAGAATCTACGTATGCAATCTCAAAGTCAAGTTGATCCCTGTTACCACATGTATGTATGTAGCTGAATTAAAGGACACTACAAGTCATTTTTAGCACAAAGAAAAGTCTGTTCAAAGTCCATTTAAAATATTTTAAAGTTTAAGTGATTTTTTTTGGTTCAATTTCTATTTCTGCATAGCCACAGAAGTTTCTACTAATAAAGAGACTACTTTAGTGTTTTATATGATTATTTTTGTGGAAATCTTAATCCTATACCAACGTTGTTTCATGGAGTCCCATTTTCTCCTTTCTATATCACAAGCTTTACATGTTTTAAAAAGACCCCTCTGCGCAGGGAGAACAGTACAGAGCACCAGTCTCGAGTCAGCTCAAATCTCGGAACGTGTAAGCGGTGCAGACAGTGACCTCTCTTGGAGCAACGCGCACACGGTACAAGGACAGGTGCCAAGCTGCACGGTCGCCTTCCTGTAATCCACAGTGGTCGCCGGAATGGTCAGAACTGGAAGTCAAACACAATTTTGTCTTCATAGAGGGCGATCACCAGCATGATGGCAAATCCGAACAGCAGCCCCAAGTTCTGCAGCACGAACTGCCCCACGGGGCAAAAGCCATGCTCTTCGTTGTCGCCGTCACCATGCAGCATTTCCGGAAGCTGAGACAAAACAGGTATTTACCAGAAATCCTGTATAATAATCTGCTCAAATGTTTTTTTTACATTTTCCTACTTAAGAACACTAATGACTAAAGCATAGCTACAGATAAAATAGTGATTTTATTGAACACAATGCTAATAACTATAACGCATTTTCATCAAACTCTGAGTGACTGACAAGAGGCAGCGTGTGCTTTCTGGGGGTGAGGGGAGATGGGGTGGAGGCGGGGAAGGAATGGAAATGCTCAGGAGGATGGAGCGCCTTGAAGGTCCAAGCAAGAACTTCAGAGCTCTTACACAGAACCAGACGGAAAACCGCGTACAGGATGGAAGCACACCAGCGGCACGGTCTAGCCCAGGGGTGGGCAAACTTTTTGACTCGAGGGCCACAATGGGTTCTTAAACTGGACCGGAGGGCCAGAACAAAAGCATGGATGGAGTGTTTGTGTGAACTAATATAAATTCAAAGTAAACATCATTACATAAAAGGGTACGGTCTTTTTTTTTTTTTAGTTTAATTCATTTCAAGCGGGCCGTAGTTTGCCCACGGCTGGTCTAACCGCTGAAGGGTCCCTGAAAAAGATCACGTAGCTGGTGTGTTGGTAGAGAGTGTTGTGGACGAGGCAGGGGCAAAAGCAGGGAGAACAGCTAAAAGGAGAAGGTGCTGGTGGCCTGAATGAGAGAGAGAGCAGTAGAGCAGAGGTGGCAGGTGGCAGGTGGCGCCCTCAGGGCTAAAGCTCAAACAAACGTAAATTCCTTGGAATATAATTTTCTGCAGAGGACTGGCTTACCTCAGAGGTACAGTCTTTCTTTCTTGTTTGCCATTTTCTTAACCATAAAACACCTCCATCCCCATATTACCCAGCCTTTAAAGTCGTATGATAATCCTGTAATTATCTCTCTAGATACTACTGGTTACTTTGAAGAGTAACTTTGACCTGTGGTCAAAAACCTTCAACATCTCAACTGGTTTGCAAAGAAGGAACGCTCCTACTTAAACATCTTTCCCTACAGATTATTGAGGATATCACATGTCTTTAAAATGGGTTGTATGTTTTGAAGAATTAGTCTTTCAATCCATATCCAAAGATTTCTCTCACTTTTAGAAGTCGTGTTCTATTTACAGGTTGAGTGTAACAACGGAAACGGAAACCATCTCACCATGTCCACCAAGGCCACGTAGAGGAACATGCCGGCAGTGACGGCGAAGATCCAGAGGGTGATGTTGTTGGCGTACTGCCCCACCGCGGTGCCGATGAACATGCCGATGTAAGCCATCATGGCCGAGAGCAGGTTGTACACAATCGCCTGCTTCACGGTCATGCCTGCTTTCAGAAGGACTGCAAAGTCACCTGCAGTGAAGACAGAATGGGAGTTCTAAAACCACAAGAAATTACACACAAATTTAGAAAAACATCCATAAAAGACAAAATGAAGAATGACATAAAAAGAGTACCTTTAATAATGGGAATCTTAATATGAAAATTTATTTTTTACTCATGAAATTAAACCTTTATAACACGCAAAAACTTGAGTGAATCTCAAAGGCATGATGCTGAAAGACAGTATGACAGGTTATATTGAATCCATTTATATGACAGTCTAAAAAGAGAAAACTATAGTGATGGGGAACATCCCATGGCCACCAGGGAGCAGGGGTGAGAAAGGGGTGTCACTATACAGGGAGAGCATGAGGGGGTTTGTGTGAATGAATCAAAATTGCAACTATGTTTTTGGTCACATCAACCAAAACAAAATGTTTTTTCTGGTGTGCCACAGTATTTTAGTAGTTAGCTTATGTGTGCCATGAGATGAAAAAGGTTGAAAATCGCTGGCTTAGAGAGAAGAGAAGAGCAAAATTCTGTAAGAAATGTCTTGGAGCTAAAGAGTCAAAATTAATAATTTTACTAACTATAATCAAGTTTTTTTAGTTACAAACATTCATTTAATTGTTGAACACTTAGTATATGCAAGGTAATATGAGTATTCTGGGGCTTGTTTCTTTCTCTTAAGAAGGGATCGTACATGACTGAAAATGCATGATCTGTTAATGAAGTTAACAAAGAAATTAGTGCAAGCCATTGTTTTTCCATGTTCCAAGAAACTGCTGCAAACCACATACCTGCAACGTTACTGGGGGAATTTAAGATAATACACCTAAGAAGATTAGTTTCTACCAATGGCTTCAAAATTGTGATTCTCCGGTTTTCCATCTAATGTTATCTCCTCCATCTCTCCACTGATCCTGAACACTCCACGCTCCCGGGTGAGACCTGGATTCACACCAGCTTTTATCTCCTTCTCTCCCAGCGTTTATTTCCTCTGGCCTTCCTTTCTCAGCTTCCTTTACAGAAAGAGCTCCTTAACTTCTTCCTCTATGAATTTCCTGGCCACATTTTCAATAATTCACCCACCAACTGTGCTCACAGGATGATGTCACTCAGCAGGGGGTTAGATAACACAAAATGAGACGGTAGATGTATATAATTTTAAGCAAAAGTTATACAACGATGACACTCTACTTTGCCATCAGCCACTCTTTATGCTTTGACACTTAGGACATTTGGATGCATTAAACACTGAAGAAGCCTGAGATGATGAAGCGAGGTAAAAGTTTAAAGGTCACATTACCTAACTCATGTGGCAGCTCATGGCAGAAGACAGCGATGGACGTGCTGATGCCTCCTGTCAGCCCAGCGCTGAAAGCCGCTCCTGCGGGGAGGGAGGGAACTAGTAAGTGATGCTGATGGATCTTCGGCTTTGCCTTTTTCATTAATGACAGGTGCAATCGCTCTTGCCTTTCTAAACTAATGTCATAATATATGAGTGACTCATTTATCTTACAAACTCTAGTTTTTGAACAGATAGTGAGGTTCAATAGGTGTTAACCAGAAAAAGAGCTACTTAGTGAAAGAAATATTCCCTATTGAATTAAAGTTTGTAGTTTGTGTGGCCTTTTAACTCCCTAACAGCTTGGAAGTAGTAATGTTGTCAGTATTTCCATCTCTGAGCGGTAGTTGGAAGGTCAATTTTAACTCATATAAGTTCATTTATAGATAGTTAAATGGCTAGTATTCTTATCCAAACTTTTCTGGTCTAGAGCACAAATGGTACGAAGAATTATTTGTCTGAGGCTCTTGAAGACTGAGACCAGAGGTACAAATGCATCTAATTCTATTAGTAAAATTGAATTCTAGTAAAAGATGTGTTTAATTCTACTAGTAAAACATTGGCAGCCATTGTGGACTCAAAAATATAGTCTCTCTCTTCTGAAAGATACCAAAGTCTATTCCTGAATAATTATTTAAGAGTCTGGACCTCAAAGGTCAGCTATTAATCCCATTTACTGTCCTCCCAAACTGGCAGTATCAGTTTACATTAGCAAAATTCTAACATAATATATTTGAATCTGCTACAATGGATTTTTTAACATAAAATTTTTCTTCACCTTTTTAGATGTGAAAAAATGAAATCCAAAATTTCAATTAATTTTTTCTCATTCGAGCATGTGTAAATGTAAATGTATTTGAAAATACAATGTTAAGGTAGCTTTTTCAATATGGTAACAATGCCTTGAATAAAATTATTAAAGAAGTATATTATAACCCCAATAAATTCAATAAAAAATAAATTTAAAAAGTGTGTCCACGCATTTAAAATAAAGACGCTGTTATGAATCACACACACACACAAAGAAGCATATTACGGACATTTGTTTACATGTTCAAAGAAAATCCTACTGAAATTATATCTCTATGTCCCCAACATAGCCTTTAGAAAAATTAAGTGACCGAAGTAATGTATAATAAACTCTACATTTTAACTTTTCTAATTTATAGTTCCTAAGATGAATAACGACATAGTGGAGGACGGTCTTCGAGAACGACCCACTGGAACCCAGGCTCCCTTGAACTCACCAATGGCTAAGCCGTCGCTGAAGTTGTGGATGCCATCCCCCATGATCACCATCCAGGCGATGTTAGCTATTCCCGTTTCCTTCAAGTCCGACCCAGAGTGGCAGGGGCCGTGTGAATGATGAGAATGTTTGTGGTGCCACTGATGACTGTGTTTCCTCAGCACAGTCTTACTCTCGTCGTGGTGGTTGGGTGTAGCAGCATGGAGAGCATGCTCATCAATGGTATGGAACCCATCACTGTGAGAGTGGTCCATGATTTTCTCCTCTTCTACACAAAGGTAATTTTTGGGAGGGGATTCTTGTTGGCCTTCTAAATCTGTCAGTTCCGTTTCATTAAGGCGATCTTCAGAAACAACCGAGTCATCCGTTCCTGCATTTATAATAGCAAAGGATATGCTTTATCAACCGGTAAATGAATGCACATTTGCTCATTTAAACCCAGACAGAACAGCAGGTAATGAACATTTCTTAAGTGACTGTCCTTGAAAATTCACTAAATAAATATATAAAAACAAGTAAAATAAATTAAAACATGTGAACACACACAAGACCAAAAGGTGCACCAGGTGATGGAGGAACTGAAAGCCATGGCTGGCACAGGGAGGAGGAGCTGGCAAGGTTGGAGATGCTGGGGACTTAAGGAGTGCATCATGAACAGCTGATGAAAACCAAAAGGTGCAAGTTACTGTAGCGTTTACAGGTAATAAAATAAACTCCTAAGTTTTCAGAGAAAGAACAAACCTTCAAGTTTGTCCACTGTAACCTCTTGCCATACAAGAAGACAAAGTGTGAATCATTTGCATCTCTCAATGCTTCACCTGACAATACTACTCAAACCATCACTAGACTGAAGTTCAGAAATTCATATAAATGACAACATCTGTTAAGTTTTGTTTTTTAAATTGAGGTTGACCTCTGACCTCGTTTTCAAGTTATTTATTATGTGACAAATATCCTCATACCTCCCAAATTCTATTTTGGGGCAGAGTCTCCAGTGGGGTCTAGGCTGCTTCTTTTCTGCAGAAAGTCACTGGTACACTCAGGGGAAACAGGAAGGGGGAATGTTAGATTTAAAAGTTTTGGTTTCGCCCTGCCTGGTTTGGCTCAGTGGACAGAGCATCAGCCTATGGACTGAAGGATCCCGGGTTCGGTTCCGGTCAAGGGCACATGCCAGGGTTGTGGTCTCGGTCCCCAGTAGTGGGTGTGCAAGAGGCAGCTAATAAATGGTTCTCTCTCATCATTGATGTTTCTGACTCTCTCTCCCTCTTCTTTCCTCTCTGAAATCAATAAAAATATTTTTTTAAAAAGTTTTGGTTTCCCTAAAAATCGTAAGCTACCTATTACATCTACCAGGCAACAGAACAGAAGGATGGGTGCGCAGAGATCTCAAGCACAGAGATCCCTCTCCTTTAAGCACAAAGGCTGATCCTCCTTCCACATGCCGAGGGCACATAGACCTTGCCTTGCCAGGAAGTAACATGATGCTAACCTACCACTCACAAAGCCTTTTTGTTTGTCCATTTCATTGTTTTCCTGTAAAGTACAATACGGTTTTTGCCCTGTAATGTAATTAATTTATCCCACTTCTGGTATAGTGTCTCACCTTAGATTAGGCGTTGTCCTGTTTAAGTTCAAACTGAGATCAAATAAGGTTGAAACAAACCAAAAAACTAACAAAAGCACAATTAAGACAAACTCACAATTAAGAAAATTTAAATTAGAAACTAAAATTAGGGAAGCCACAAAGACACGAAATATTAAGCAACACACAGTTTAGAAGCGATATTTCAATTGTGATGTTTTAAAAGTTTCTCGTGAGAACTATTACCTACCTGCAAGAGGCTTGAGCTGCAGCCAGTCGGCGTCTGGCGTGTTATTTATCTTGTGGTCTGAAAGCTTCCTTCCAATACTCGATTCTTCTGTGTTCTGCTTCATAAACCACTTCTGTTTCCCCTGGGAAAAAATCTGGTATTATTATCAAATCTGCAGCCACAAGTAGCAACAATATTCACTTATTAACATCTATGGGGATAACTGGTATTAACTCCTGGCATAAATTATATGATAAAGAAGTGAGAAAAAATTTTACAAGTTAATCAAGGGGTTTAACCAGATGAAAAATCCAGCTGTATTTGTATGTTGGTGTTTTTTGAATACTCAACTAAAAGGTTCAAGTTCATCTAATTCAAAGTTAAAAGGATACGCACTACTATATTATTATATGCAACCCAAATGAAATATGTGAAATATATGTAATCTCTCTTATCTAATAATGTGTGGGAATAGTAAATTCCAAAAACTAATGCTTATTCCTTTGAATTTTATTCTGTGATTAATGCAATCTCATATTTCCCTACTTGCGACATAATGAAGAGTCAAACCTGAGTTAAAATACCAAATTTGCAATTAACTTCTGAGACTGTTAAATTTGTTAAATATAATACTCATCTGTAAAATGAAAATGATAGATTGAGGATTAAATGAGGTGATGTATTAAAATGACCTATAAGTAACTGACCCTAAGCTTTGCGATAAAGACAAGCTTCGTTTCTCATCTAATCTGTTCTCAATTACTAATAAATTCTAATTATTGTATTTTATTGTTTAGGTTTGAATTGTCCTAACTTATCTCTAAACTAGAGGCCCAGTGCACAAAATTTGTGCACAGGTAGGGTCCCTAGGCGTGGCTGGAGATCCGGGCCGATTGGGGCCTTCTGGCTGCCAGCCAGGGCCTCCCTTAACCAGCTGCTGGTGGGGCCTTCCTTCATTCCACGCCACCCCATGGTGGTCAACGCATGTCATAGCGAGCGATCAAACTCCTGAGGGGACACTTTGCATATCAGCCTTTTATATATATAGATAGCCTCCTTTTCAACATAGCTACCACTAACAACACTTCCAACCTGAAGTTCTACTTCTAGTCTATGTGAACGTAAGAGACAAATAACAAGTATGTTAGACGGTTGGCTTTGCTTCCAGCTGTAAACGGTCAGTCTCCTAACGCTGCGAGGTAAGCCCGTCGGGGCTAGTAGAGTCTTCAGCGATGGCCACCATCAGTGTCTTCCCTCCCGGCCTCAGCCTTCTTCTCCACCCGCAGAATGTACAGCACATTCCCCTGCCTGAATTCTGGCTGGCCTTTACCGTATCTTCACCAGAACAGCGGAAGTGAGGCTGGGCCGGGGGAAGGGGGACTGGTCTGAAAGAGCCTGGCTGGCACTTTGTTGGGCGGGGAAGCAGCCACGTGCTCTGGAGCAGCTCGGTCTGGACTCGGCGGGAGGTGTGAGAGGAGACCGAGATGCAGGCACACAGACGAGGAGGGAGGCATTCCTGGACTTCACCTGCCCTAGCAGGCAGTGGAGTGTGAATGTAGCAGCGAGTGGCTCTAGCTGACACCAAGTAAAGCAAAAACACTGCTCAGCTGGGCCCTGCCCAAATCCCTGTTGCTATAAGCCATTAAGTTTGGGTTGTTCTGCTTCATAGCAATAGGTAACAGAAACAGGAGAAACAGACAATGTTCAAATAATAATAATATCGAGACATCCTAGAGGAGAGAACAACAGCCATGAGTCACTAAAGAAGAGGAAGGAGGAGTCAGCAACAGTAAAAGCCCAGGAGAGGGAGAGAGAGGGTAAAGGAGAAAAAGCCAATGGCAGCTGGGATCTTGTAACTGCTGTGGCTCTGACTGTCCACTTTCCGAAAAACTTGCCAAATCACCCCTCAAGCTCAGCCGGCCTGAGCCAGTCATCGCCGGGTGTTGCTGAACTGATGCTCTGAACGCTCCCTTCCCAAAGCTGACTTTTCTATCAGACGATCAAGTATCTGTTCTACTCAAGTATCACTCATCTCCTTTCTTCCAAAGGCCTGCACAGCAGTGTCTCACCTTAGATTAGGCGTTGTCCTGTTTATCATAAAGGACGTGTTCGGACTTACTGCCTAGATTCCTTTCCTGGATATACTTGAAAACCTCCTTATTATAGACACAATACTCCTCTGCCAAGAGCACCTTCCGTTTTTTACCTCCCACAATTTCTTTTAATATATTTTTATTGATTTCAGAGAGGAAGAGGGAGGGAGAGATGAGAGGGAATCACTGATTGGCTGCCTCCTGCATGCCCCACACTGGGGATGCAGCCTACAATCTGGGCATGTGCCCTTGGCCGGAATCAAACCTGGGACCCTTCAGTCCACAGGCCAACGCTCTATCCACTGAGCCAAACCAGCTAGGGCTCCCACAATTTCAAATTTACAAATAGGCTGCCATATTTTGGGGACTCTGTTCTCCTACATTAGTTTACTTTACAAAAATAAATGTGTTTCATTTTGCCGGTAAATTTAAGTTCAAACTGAGATCAAGATTAAATTATAAAAAAGGAAAACTTGTGTATTTTGTTCTTCTCTGTAAATTATACAGTCCCTAATAATTTAGACAGATTAAATACCAACTGCTGCTTCGATGTTAATAGGTATACACAACTGAAGAAAATTCAGGCTTCATAGTAATTCCAAAACTCCTTTATATAGTTTGCAATATGTAACTGTGATCTAAATTAGGTACTTACAGAGATGGACTCTAAATTCTCGTATTTCTTACATCTAATCAAATGTCAAGTCTTCTTATTGATTCTTTCATTTTAACAATCCTCTTAACCACCTCCTCTCCCCCAATCCTATGCCATAACTGTGGTTCAAGCCCATCTCACCCCTCCTCTGAATGGTCGGCAGTGATTGCCTTCGCCGACTCGCTCCCTGCCAGCCACTCTCACTCGGCACCCTTCCACCACATTCTAGTCTTCCATCCACGACCTTCCACAACCTTCAAACACCACGTGCTGTGGAATCTCTCTCCCTTTGCTCTAGTTGGTCCTTCCCAGTTCCTTCCCATCCTCAGATGATTCTCCCCTGGCACGCCATCCTGACCACCCCTCCTCTGGAGGCAAATAAATATGATGGTGTCCTACTGAAATATAGCAATTAAAACTAAACATATTCTACTTGGAATAGGTTATAAAAATGAGAAGTAGGATTTACTCCCCATAGATAGCAACTGAAAATCATGAATGAATCATAGTTTCACAGCTAGCTTGTGGCTGAGCAATAACTAGAATCACTCCCCCTGTCTCCCAGTGCAGAGTTCTATTATAAACTATTTATTTTGTCTCAAGAAGATCTATAAACAACACATACATATACCAAAAATATATACATAAAAATAGCATAAAAGTTGTATCCTAGGTGTGGACTGTAGCCTAGTTGTATCCTAGATGGTGATCACGACTATCGAATGTTCTTGAGGAAGAAGAAAGTATTTTTCCTTTTTTGAATATTTGCAGTTAACTAACAAAATGTAAGAATTTTCTAATCCTTTTTGTGTGGAAAGCTTCCTAAAGATGTCCTCTAGATTTACAGAGCAGATACTGAAGATAATCAGCACTGGTATCACAAACATGTTAGTGAGATATATTCAAGATAGAACTTTAGATACACACATGAATCAACTTGAACAGGGAGAGGTATAATCATGGTGAATGTAACCCCAAACTTACCTTCTTGGGGAGAAAATTCTTTGGATATTTGTGTTATTCTCATAAATGTGACAGGAAACACAGACAGTTCATGACAAGCAGGGTATGTGACCAATAGTCCTTGCGTCATCTCCCAAGTGGCTTGCTGCTCTTGAGAGGAATCACCATTTCCTTCATTTCCCTTATATCCTTCCTACAAAGCTTCCTGAATATAAAGTCTTATACCTCTAGGACTCTACCACTGGCAAGACTTTTCTGATAAAGAAGTATGCTGTCTGAAAACATTTTCATTCAAGTGTATGACAATAAAAGCCACTTAGACTTGAAATTACCTAAGAAGACTGATGAAACTTGCTTGTATTTACATATTTTTGCATTTTTGTGAGCATAAACTAACCAATAGCTTTTGCATCCTGTTTAAACTCAGTTAAATAAGATGTGACGCAGATGAGCTGAGATTATCATATCTTGATTATAAATGCCAAAATAAATGTAATGACCAAAAATGGCCAGGATCAAAGCCATTTATTACTATGAAGATAACCTATTAAAAAACAGAGACTTAAATCACACCAACACCATAATTAAACACATGGCCAGAAAATGATGGTCTTTGAGTTTTACATTCCAGAAAGTGAAGCAAACAACTAAAAAGTACTTACTCTTTGCTGTTTGTAGTGCTTAAACATTCTAAGGCAGTGTTCAATGATAAATAACAAGTAAATGCCTCCTAGAGCGACAAGTCCTTTCAGTACAGCATCATATTCTTCCAGAAACTTCTTGGGCTCGTGTCCATGCGAATGGCCATGGCCGTGCCCATGCGTGTGTGCGTGTTGGTGACTGTGATCATGTCCACCCTGAGACTGGTATTAAGAATAAGGAAAAATTTGAAACAAATAATTAAAATGCTACTGAAATGCTATGAAAGTACATTTCCTGGTAACTCTAAAACAAAGACCACCAACTCAAATGCTGAGAGGAGTAAGAGAGCCATATCAGCAGTAAGAAAACAGGGAGCGATGGGTCCTCTGTCTATGACCCAGATAAATGCCTAGTATTCAGTAAAAAGAAAACAAAGGAATTCACCAACAGGTGATTACTTGTGACTCCCTGTAATCTAACTTTTTCTTAAACTGATTATACAGAAGTACATACTGGAATATATGCTTAATGTTCTATTTTTAATACTTTAGCAAAAATAAATATATGTGTGCTAATAAAGTTATGTTTAATTGTGAAATGTACACGTTTCACAATATTAATCTTAGAGATCTTTAAACATTAGAGAAGGACTGCTAAGTATTTCCCTTGCTTAATACATGTGTATTCTTTCCCCATATGGTAGTGGTCAACAGAAGTTTCTAAACCTCTCAAAAGAGGTAAGATCATTCAAAAAGGTATTAACTTTATCCTTAAGAAAAAAATAAACAGCAGTTAAACTTTGCTCACACTTCAACTGTTCTTATAGGCCCAGTTCTGAAACAGACTGTTGCTTTTCCTGATGGCTGTCAGAAAGGGCAAGCAAGGGTGGAAATGAAGGGGAAAGTAAGTAAATAACCTGTAATAAATAAACTTTAAAAAATTTATATTAAATTTTAAGATTAATTAATTTCTTAAAAAGACAATGTCATGCATTGTTCTAGACTAGATCTGGAATTCTCAACCACAGTACAGAAGAGAGAAGAGGTATTCATAACATACACATGCAATTCTGTCTCCCCACACTCCAGAAGGCAGATGGTGAGGATATATAAGACAATACTCAAACCTGTCATTTACATTTGGAATGAAAGAGCCCACTATTTTCATAATGTGACACAAAATAATAATACTGGATCAACTACTCTCAAGTGGCAACAGACCTTGAAAGGTACAATCAAGGCACTGGGAGTGTGGGCTCATGGTCCTACCATTAGAGTGTGCCCAAATGTTGGAAACCAAGAGGAGGCCGGGCGAAAGGCGAAGTGCCTGGATGGAAAGAGCGACATGCCTGTAGCAGCTAACTAACTGAGCAGGTCTGCCTATTCCTGCTCAATCAAGGTGCCAGAGCATACTGCTATACGCATACAGATACAGAGGTCTATCACTCTTTGATTTTTAAGTATTTACTTTCAAAACTTCCAGTTGAGCAAGTGTGGGGTTTTTTAAGTTACCTTTACTGAGGTATAAGTGGCCTATAAAATAGTAAGATATTTAAAGTATACATCGTAGTGACTTGACATGTATACATTCTGACAGGTGAACATAAAACTGACATTAGCAGTCTTTTTGCTATTTTAAAATGATTCAATTTATTTTAAAAAATATTGCTATTAAAACTGCTCGAATGGAAAAAATATTTATCCTATTAAGCAAATAAAATAGCACAAATACTAGATTTTTGTGTTAGAGCTTGCTAATGAAAGAACCTTTTAGCTTAAATACTTTCATTTTTATTTTATTTTTTAAGTTTAAAAGGATTTCTTACATGGGGCAGTAGATGAAGAAGGGCATCTCCACTCATTGTTCCTACAGCCAGAGCCACAAGGAATGTGAGAAGGAATTTGAAGCATCCTTGGTTAATGATGGGAACCAAGATCACACCAAGCAAGGAAAGCAGGCTAATGACAGTGACAGAAATGATACCACAAATCCACGCTGTGGGAAAGAAATTGACAGTCAGCATTAGTATAAAAACATCAATCAAAAAAGCTCCCAAGAAGAATAAACAGAAGATAAATGAGTCACACCCAGACTATACTTTTTAAGAAGCTTCATATTTTGGCACTGTTATGCTTAAAAACAGAACAAAATAAATAACAGTATAACTAACTTAAATACCTAAAAAAGGAATTAAGAAACTCAGAGCAAATTATAAATATTATCCTCAGTGGCCCACCTTATCAGAAAAAGGGACTTAAAATGATTTAAGGCTGTGAGTCACTCTTAACATCTAGACTGAATGATTATAAACCTCTCCTGGGAGCATTAAAGAAAATCAAGTACCTAATATACTGTAACCTTTGTAAATCTTTCTTAAAAAAAGTTTAAGAAACTACATATTAGCCCCAAATGGAAATATATTCACATAATATACAGAAGAGTCTTATTACTGTATCTCATTTCTTATTTGTACAAGGATAATTCAGTTCTACTTTCCTCGATATCATCTCTCCTCCACACCCTGTTCCAAACTCTCTTTCCTCCAATTTGGCTTTCTGTACAATTTACTTAAAAAACTAAAAAACAACCAAAAAAAAAACCACACAAAAAACCCTTCCTTTTTAGAAATAATAATATTTGCATTTAAGCTTAAGTAAACTCTATCATAATTTTCTAGGTGTTGAAAAAAGCAATTTGGGTTATAAAATTCTTCTGATTTCTAACCAAATTACTGTGCTTTTTAAATCACAATTTATTTGGTATAAAATAAAGACAAATAAAAACTGGAATATGGCTCAGTTGGTTGAGTGTCATCCCACGCACCAAAGAGTCACTGGTTCAATTCCCAGTCAAGGCGCATGCCCAGGTTGTGGGCCTGATCCCCTGTAGAGGGCTGTAGGAGGCAGCCAATCAATGTTTCGCTCTCAACATTGATGTCTCTCTCTCTCTCTCTCAAATCAATTTTTAAAAAACACATTAAAGAAGCATCTTTTATAAAATGTATACCAAACTAAGAATATATAAACTATTAAATACAACTACCAAATGTTTCCTTTATTTGCACCCAAGATACCAACTGCAATTAAAAAAAATGCTAAATGTCTGAAACAAGCTTCACTTATTCTGCAAATTAGGTCGCTTAAAACGTTAAAGGTCTTCAAGCTTAGTTATTCACCAATTCCCTTTCTCATTATCTAGAGAGAAAATACATTCTTTTAAAAAGAAGCGCTCATCTGTGGAAACTTTCTAATTAACTTGGTTCAAAGCATGCGCAAGATGGCAGTTTTCTACACTGTTTCAGCATTTTAATTGGCAGAAAATGCTTATCAACCTATTCACAACCCCCTTGGCAATTAAGCTAGGGTCAGCTCTATGACTAAATGGGCCAATCTTGAGAAACAAACGATTTCTAGCGTACACAGTATATAGCATACTGGGTTTACAGCAGTCTTTGAACAGTTAATGAGGTAGTAGCTGTGCCTCTATGGGAGACTTATATAGAACCAGTTAACCTTTCTTAATGGTACAGCAGTCATTAAAAATAATTTCTAGCAGGGCCTTCTCTCTACAATTATCAACATCTATTAGGACATAATTCATTCAATCTTCATTTCTGACAATGCTAATAACCACCTGCAAACAACTGATCAAAATTCACTATTAGTAATGTATTTGTCTCCCAAAGCAAGTACAATTTCCTCTAAGGCTTTTCAGATTGAATAAGCTGTAATTTTCAATATTACTAGTAAAGCATCTATCAGCAGCTTATTATAATATATAGATTATTCCAATATTACAGTATGGAAAACTCTAATTCATAATCTACAGTGGATGTGGAAGCCAAAATTAAAATTTTTCGAAGCCTTAAAAATAAAAAAGGCTATTAATTTTAAATCTAGATGTGACAATCTCGTCAGTCTCCGTTTTCCCTGTAAAGAACAAATGACTTTTGTTTTAAGTTCAATAATCTCAGGCCTAGCTCCCCTTCTCTCCTGTCACAGTGAAAATGGAGAAGCACCTGAAAGACGGTGCCTCTCGAGGTACTTACTCCCCCACCACGATCAGGGAACAGGAAGCCAGAGAGGGGCCTATTTTATCCACCCAAACCTCAGCACTCCAATCCGGGCATGGACTCACTTTGTCTCCCTTTACTAACACACCAGTCTGGACCCAGCCTGTCTACCTAGAAGACCATTCTTGCATTTTTCTTACTAATCTATACTTACAGCAATACATATGTACACCAATATTTACCTCTATACCACTGTCCTGTCTGACTGCATCACCTATTGAAACACTACGAAGTATAACTAAATAGAACTATCTCCCGGTCATATTCTAGCAAAGCATACTGAAGGACCCTTTTAGCAGGAAGCAGTCGAGCACAGCACAGGTTAAGAACATAATGGTTACAATGACAGGCTTCTGTTTATCTTTTAAAATATAGTTTATTGAATTTATAGGGGTGACACTGGTTAACAAAATTATATAGGTTTCAAGCATACAACATATAACACAGCATCTGTATACTGTATTGTGTGTTCACTACCACAAGTCTAGTCACCTTCTATCCCAAATGGTATCCCCGCCCCTTACCCTCTTCTGTCCCCCCTCATCCTCCTTTCCTTCTGGTAATCACGATACCTGAGACCATATGGTACTTGTCTTCCCTGACTGGCTTTCTTCACTTAGTGTAATACCCTCTAGGTCCCACTGGCTTTCCTCCGTACTTCCTTAAAAACAATCATCACACCCTGCTCAATGGGAAGCAATTAGAACACAAACAATTTTAACTAAGGGCCCGTTCTTTACATTTGCCCGTCAGGACAGACCCACTTATCACAAACCTGTGTATCCTTTTTAATCTAGTTTCCTAGCACAATCCTTCCCCTGCAATGCCACACGATACCACCATGCCTCCTGTCTTACCCAAGTCTTTTAAACGTACATGTTAAAACATATTGAAAGACATCAAAAGTAGGGCAGTAATTTGGAAATACTTTCTAATTCAACTACATAAAAAAATTAGAATAGAAATTGTGTTGAGGAGAAAAAGAAATCTTTCTTACCCGATGCCCCTACATTTGCCTTATCTTCAGGAACTGTATTTTTATCCTTACTTAAATCTTCAACTAAAAGTTTGTCAAAATGTTCAATACAAAGTCTGCTGTCAATCTGATATAACAATGCAGGGCAAAGGTATGTGAATAGATCAGCGGAGATTGGAGAGTTGGCACCATGACCATAGTATTTTAACAACTGAGTGACGTTCAAACACTGTAAGGAAATTGATAAAACAAATTAAAGAGTATTTTAGAAAGGTTATGCAGAAACAATTTACTGTATAAAGAAAATATTCTAATTATTATTTGAAAATAATTTGTAATACAATATATGTATTAGAAATAAAGCTTTTGGATAGGAGTTTATGATAGGGATACATTCAACTTATTACCCAAGACTTTTTATGGGTTTTAAACATTCTTCCATTCTAACACATGAAAGATAATGATCTATTGCCACTGATAAGAGAGATTCACAACTGTAATCTCAAGATTCTTAAGGGGGTGGGGGCAATCACTTCTCTAGTCAAAGTGTATTTATTAATTACTCAAGATTCTTACTTGTAAAACAGTGTTAAATAAACTTAAATTACTTTAATAACTTTGTATTTTAGTATAAGACAGACTTTTCCCTGCCGAAGGGGATGCCCAATGCTAAAGCTGGAAGATGAGAACAAGGCAGCTTCATCCACTAGAACTTTAAGTGCAAAACAAAACAGAGCAGGAAACAAGGCAAACAAGTTTGAACCCATCGTATAGAAAACAAGTATCTAAAATTAAGGCAAAAAGACGGTACTGCCTCTTTTTCCTACAGACCCACTTCGGCAGCAGACTTGTCTATTGACGTGCTAGCTCATCCTATGATTTTACGTAGGTACAAAAAACAAGGCCAGAACACACATACAAACAAACAATGATTCTGCCCAGGTTTTAACATAAGGTACTATACTACACAATGCATACAATATTTCCATAAATCCTGAGAAAATTCAAAATACGCATCAGGTTTGATGATGCAGACCCTACAAGTTTGACACAAAAAGTAAATATTAATAATAACGTCCAGTTATTAACAACAAAAGATTCTAGGATATCATCCATAGTAATAGATGAATATAATTCTTTAAAAGTAAACTAAGATTATCAGTGTTTATAACTGCTAAAAATAAATTATCTGGTGACTTCTCCAGGGAAGAAACACAAAGATATTTACTTAGATGCAAACATATTTAAATTGTAAAGACATAAACAACAATGGATGAAGTCTTATTCCATCATATTCTATATTATATGGTGCTGATTTTATACATATGAACAATAAATTCAATTTTTTCTAAACTTAAGAGTGATAAAAATTAGAATAAACAAAGGTGTTAATATACCTTTCATAAAACAAAAAATAAATGTGTTTAAGATTAATATAGCTTTAAAAAACTAAGAAGGAATCAATTGATGTGAAATTATTCAAAAAAATCATGAAAATTTGGAGTTTCCTATTATTGTATCTTTTTGCATTCACCCTAAATTTGTCAAAGGCATGAGAAAGACTGTATCATGAGCAAGTAGGCCCTATCATAAAGTGACATTGAGAAAAGAAACCTACGACATGCACAAAATACCTGATTTGGAGCTATATCAATGACTAGGACCCATTCCATAATTAATTCAGTAAGTTAATAGTCATAAAAAAGAAACTGTCTAGTCACTTCCCAAGAGGAAAGACTGAACAAAAAAGGCTTCAATTTTCAAATATCTGGAAACCAGCTAATAACAACATGAAAATTAACTTGCGGAGTTAAGAAAGTCATAAGATAGTAAAATAATGAATATAAGGGTATATTTTCTAACAACCTTCAAACATTTAGATTTTAAGAACCCAAATTTGAAAACAAACAATGCAAGTAAAAATCCGGATAAAAAATTTAATCTGATTTAACTTCCTTAACGTGTTTCTTTTACATTACCTAGAAATGTTTTAATATGATTAACTATTCCACTGTTACTTCTCTTTTCACCTTAAAATGCTCCACAATTATCTAAGAATTATGGAGCAACCATCTTTTTCTACTTACCTCATGTTGGCGGTCATCTTCATTATGATCTTTGTGACTAGCAGCTGAATAAATTGCACTTTTTTTAACATGTGGTGCTTCTCGCTTTCTAGTGTGTCGAAGTTCACCTTCATTATCAGGATCAGGATCTTGGTGTCCATGACCAGGATCATGACCATTATGTTCTGGAAGATGTCCATGAGAATGACCTGGGTTATGTACACGATCAGGTTTATGGACCCGATTATGCTCGTATTGTTCACCCTGATCATGGTTAGGGGGAAAACCTGGTGTAATGACCTCTGAATTTTCGTCATTCTTCCCTTTTCTCTTCCTCTTTCCTTTTGGTGGCTTACTTTCAGAATGTTCCTGTGTTTTATTGGTCTCTGCTGAAGGCTCATGGCTAGTCTCCCCATGCTCACTGTGAGTAATGGAATCATTAGAAAAATGGTGGGTAGTGTTATGATCGAGGTGATGACGCAAACAATGGTGATGACATAACCGATGATTGCGGTCGCGAGTATGTTTATCATCAGATTTGACAGACACTTCAACTGTCTCTTTCTCTGGGTCACACTTATGGTATCTTTTTGTTGATACACTGGTCACAGTTTGGTTTTCTGAATTTAAATGCTTATGGGAATGCTGGTGGTTATGTGAGTGAAAATGCTTTCCCTCTTGAACTGCCAAAATATCTAAGTGAGAAACATGATCGTGGCCAAGATCCTCATGATTAATCTCAACTACTTTTATTTCTCCGAGGCCCAAGTTTGTTAAAAGTTTCTCCAGACCAAAAAAGGATAATCTTCCATTTTCACCGTAACGGTCAAAAAGTTTTTCAATGTAATAATTTTTCTCATTTTTGGCAGCATCCAGCTCTGAAAATTTGCTCGCCTCCGATTCGGTCAGTCCATGATGGTGTCTGTGGTGCTCCTCAGGACCATGGTCATGTGGCTCATGGCAGTGGTTGCAATGATGAAAAATAAATGTCAGCAAACAAATGAGGCAAAATTTTGTGTGCATATGTACCTTCATTTCTATTTTTCCTAAAGGGATTTAAAAAGAGGCAAGCATTAGTTTGTACTTAGTCACATTCAAAATAACCACACACTTTCCAGCAGTGCCAATCTACTAGCCCGGTGGTCGGCAAACTCATTAGTCAACAGAGCCAAATATCAACAGTACAACGATTGAAATTTCTTTTGAAGGCCAAATTTTTTTACCTTAAACTATATAGGTAGGTACATTGTTATTAATTAGGGTGCTCCTAAGGCTTAGGAAGAGCCACACTCAAGGGGCCAAAGAGCCGCATGTGGCTCTCGAGCCGCAGTTTGCCGACCACTGTACTAGGCAAATGTTTTACCCCAGTTCTTCTGTGGCTCTGGATCATTCTTTCCTCTTCCTGTAAAAATAGCATACAGCCCTTTGAATTAATACAAACTGATAAGGGCTCATCTACCAAACTTCTACCAGTCATCTACTCTGACTTCCCGTTAGCACAACACTTAAGAGTCTATACATTTATACAGGAATTGGCTTCCTCCTCATCTGGTCCTTTACAAAATAGTGTGCTGATTCTGCTCTTGAGTCCCTCTGGTAATTGCAATAAGGCAGGATGAAATAAAATGATAAAATGTGTGAGTTATAAAGAAATGCAACTGTCATTATTTATGAATGACAGGATTGGGTATGTAGAAAATCCAAAACAAACTCTAAGAATTAATAAGTTAATTCAGTTAAGTTGCTCGATATAAGAATAACATAAAATCAACTGTATTTCAATATACCAGCAATAATTAGAAAATTAGAAAACAGTGTTATTTACAATAGCAAATAGCTAGGAATAAAAAACAAAAGATGTGCAAGACCTTTACATAAAATATGATCACATGTTATTGAGAGAAATGCAAGCCATAAAATGGATGACTATATCATGTTTATGACTGGATGGGATACAGACCCAATGTAACCCCAATCAAAATCTCGGAAGTAATTCTGTGAGAATTTGAGATACTTTTAATACTTAGCTGGAAAGGGAAAGGGCCAAGAATGGCCACGCTACTTCTGAAGAACTAGAAACAAGTATGTCCTCAACCAGTTACTAGAGGCAGTGTGGTGTCTGGTGTGGGAATAAACATCCGGAGATACAAAACTGGGAGTGCCAAACTAGGAAAGATTCTCTTTTCCTTGGTGATTGGCCAACTAGATTTCTATATACAAGAAAAAAATAAAATGATCCCTCTCCACCTACTAAAAAATCAATTACAGATGGATTTTAAATCTAAATCTAAAACAACAAATGTGAAAGCAATAAAATGTCCAGAACTGTGCTGTCCAATATGGCAACCACTAGCCACATGTAGCTACTTAAATTTAAACTAACTACAATTATATTAAAAATTCAGGCTTGGCCCGGCTGGTGTGGCTCAGTGGTTGAGCACCAACCCATGTAACTACAGGTTCAATTCTTGGTCAGAGCACATGCCCGGGCTGTGGGCTCAATCCTCAACAGGGGGTGTGCAGGAGGCAGATGATGATGAATGTTTCTCTCTCATCGATTATTCCCTCCCGCCCCCCTTAGGAGTACCCTAATTAAGTTAATAACAATGTACCTACCTATATAGTTTAAATCAATAAAAGACATATTTAAAAAATAAATCTTTTTTAAAAGATTTATTAAAAATAAATCTTTTTTAAAAATAAATCTTTTTTAAAAGAAGCTAGCTGTTGCTTCAGTCATTCCATCCTCACACAGTCATATCCAAAGCTGAAGCATTTACCTTTGACCTGCAGAGCAGAGTGGTGCTCCCTGCTAACTCATCACCACTGTCATTCTAACCGCTACTGCCACCCCTCAAAGCCTCCACCTTCACACTCCCGTTTTCCTTCTTCAGCAGCTTGTCACTGTTACATGTCTCTGACTTTACACCAGCCTGCCATTCGTAAGTAGCCAGGTAAAATTACCTTTCCTTTCCATTAGGTTAAATAGAAAAAAAAATCCGTGTTCCGGGCAATTTCTTTGTAAAATGAACATATTTTGATGACTGACAGCAGCTACTTCCTCCCGACCAGGGAAACTTTCTGTCTGATTAACTTTAGCTATCCTTATAATTAACAATTAAAACCATCAAGATCCTTTTTTTTAAAAAAATTATCTTTATTGCTGAAAGTCTTACAGATGTCCCCTTATTTCCCCGTGGCCACTACCCCCTCCCCCACCTTCACAGCACTATTGTCTGCGTCCATGGCCCATGCAGATAAGTTCTTTGTTAATCCCCCCCCCCCCCCTTCCCTCTGAGATCTGTCAAGTCTGTTCCATGCTTCTATGTCTCTGGATCAATATATTTTGTTCATCAGTTTATTTTGTTCCTTAGATTCTACATGAGTGAAATCATGTGATACTTGTCTTTCTCTTGTTGTTCACAAGGAAAATAATACAACAGTTAATAAATAGTACAATAAACTCTGTGTTTTGCATACTCACAACTGTAAACCTACTTTTGCCCCACCCTGTATATGAAAACTACATAAATTATTCTACAAATTTAGAGGGTTCTACGGCACAGTCCCTTTTCTTATAAAGCTACATTCTGATACTCAGACCTGGGGTAGATTTTGTGATACACAGGCACATAGAAAAAGAAAAAGGTAAGAATATTATTAACGCCAGAAAAAGTTATATACTGCTACCAGCAGTATGATCATAGCATTCTCATTAATAGTTGGTATTAATTTTGGAGTAATATCTTGCCTTATTTTCATTTATATTTTTTAAATTATTCCTGTTGTCTCATTATTTTTATCAACACATATGCTATACTACATAATATGAATTGGTCATATTTTCTGCAAAAAACACACTCGGTTTTGCCCAGTGCCTTTTAATTTTGATTACAATGGTTTACCCTTTCATGAATGTTCTCCTGTATATGCATTATTGAACTGTTTTTGTAATTTCTTCTGATTTCTAAATTTAAGAAGTTTCTTCTCTCCATATCTAATACATATTTTCTTCTTTTAAAAAACTATAAAGTGACCGTAACCAGTTTGGCTCAGTGGATAGAGCGTCGGCCTGCGGACTGAAAGGTCCCAGGTTCGATTCCGGTCAAGGGCATGTACCTTGGTTGCGGGCACATCCCCAGTGAGGGGTGTGCAGGAAGCAGCTGATCGATGTTTCTCACTCATCAATGTTTCTGACTCTCTATCCCTCTCCCTTCCTCTCTGTAAAAAAAATCAATAAAGTACATTTAAAAAAAACTATAAAGTGAACATGACCCCCAAAGATCTAGGACCCCTAACATCATTTCTCTTTTAGGGAAAATAAAAACATCATTGAACTAACCATACTCTTACATATTTATGTTAAGAAAGTTTATGTTAGCCTCAATAAAACTTTCAAGTTCTTGTGTTTAAGCAAAAGTCTTCCTAGTAAAAACTCTAATATTTGTCTTATAAAGCATAAATCGTATTATGTGCTATATATTTACAGTGAATTTACAGAACATTTTTCTTAAAATCTCTTTCGGTGATTCGATTTTAGCATACCTTTCCGGTTTCTTTGTCAGCTTTTAAAAATTGGTATGATTGTTTTCTTGAAAATATTTTTTTATTTATACTGGTTACATACATAAAATTATTCACTTTACTTGAAAAAACCTGTAATATCCTAATTAAAATGAAAATCTTAAAAAGTATGTTCTACTTCACTTACTGCACCTGGGATGTTAATTGGCACAGTCACTATGGAAAACAGTATGGAGGTTCCTTAAAAAGTTTAATAGAATGACCATATGACCCAGCATTCCTCTTCTGGGTATCTACTCAAAAAATTTGAAAGCACTCATTTGCAGAGATATATGCTCCCCTAAGTTCATTGCAGCATTATTCACAGTGGCCAAGACCTGGAAACAACTGAGGTGTCCTTTGCTAGAGGACTGGATAAATGGGTAAAGATGTGGCACATACACAATGGAATACAGTGGGGCCTTGACTTACGAGTGTCCCGACTAACGAGTTTTTCGAGATACGAGCCGTCTCTCTCGGCCGATTTTTTGTTTTGAGTTGCGAGCTAAAATTCGGGTTACGAGCCAGCTTCAGATACCCCACCGCTAGTTGGCGCAGCGAACGTCACAGTGAACGCCACAACATCAACCCAGCATCATGTGTCTCACTTGTTCACTTTAAGATTTGACATACGAGTAATTTGAGTTACGAGCTCCGTCACGGAACGAATTAAACTCGTAAGTCAAGGCCCCACTGTACTGCTCAGTCATAAGAAAGATGAAGTACTGCCATTGCAACAACATGGGTGGGTCTTGAGAATATCGTGCTAAGCGAAATATGTCAGAAAAAGTCAAGAACCATGTGATTTCACTTAGTGAGATATAAAACTAAAAGTAACAAATGAATAAACATCAAAAACAAACAAAAACTCATAGACACAGACAACAATATGGTGGTTACCAGAGGGAAGGGGGATGGAAGGTTAACAAAGGGTAAGGGGGTCAAATATATGGTTACAGAAGATTTGACTTTGGGTGGTGGGCATGCAATGCTACATATAGTTGATGTATCAGAGAATTCAGTACCTGAAACATATATAATTTTATTAACCAATGCCACCCCAGTAAGTTTAATTTTTTAAAAGTATGTTCTGAACATTAAAATGTTATGCAGTTAAATTTCTATACTAAAAAAGATCTATGGGGACAGAGAACATGATCTTGTTGCTTTATAATATATACATATTACACATAATATATAGTATCTATTCTCTATTGGCGCATATGTAATTTTATGTATAATCTACACTGAGAGAAAGATACAAATTGACCATACCTTTGCGACACCCACCAGCCAATCAGGCGTGAGTATGCAAATTAACCCAACAAACATGGCGGGTTAATTTGCATATGCAGGCACCGAGTGGCCAGGAGTGGGGCAGGATGCAGGCATTCCACACCGCCCCAGCCGCTCTGGGCCTCTGGGCAGCGTGGGAAGGTGGAAATGGGGCTCCGGACTGGAACAAAGGCAGAAAGGCGGCTCTGGGCTGGAGCGAAGGCGGTGCCAGCAGCCAGGGGAAGGAAGGCCCATTCTTGCATAAATCTTCGTGCATCGGGCCTCTGGTTATATAATAATACTATAGTACAATCTAATGTTTTTCTAATATTACATTGTTTTACTTCATTGGTTTATAATAACAAGTCATATATTATTCTCTTTATCTTGATAAGGTATGT